GTGCAAACATCAAAGGAAATACTTCAATCAAATAGTAGATATAAAGGTTTGCTTGCCGAGTTTAACATACCACTTCAGAATAGCTCTTTATTGCCATATGGTATTTATTATTATTTATTATTTAGTTAATCCTGATCGTACAATACTTAGAATATGTTAGAATCCTTTTTTTGAAGCATCAGGAACACTTATCCTATAAGGACAGTTCATTAATCATTAAGGGAAAGATTTAAAACCTTTGTTTAAATCCAAAGGAAGTTGCTTTTTAGAAGTCAGTGATGCGCTGAAAAACATACCGAACCTATTCACAAAAATTTAAGAATAAACAATATTAATGAATTTTCAATATGAAGACAATTCAACCATTTTGAAACTTTTTTTAGTTAATTTAAAAGTTGACCAATATTTTTAAACTCCTTTTTCATACATAACTTTTAAAAATATCGAAAACAGAGGGTAGTTTTTTATCTTAAGCGAATTCAAAGCACATACCTAAGCATTATAGACTCAGTTAAACTCTAAAAGTATTTGATATTTTTGACAATAAGTGTAAGTAATTCTATAGCCTGTAACGTCACTCTTGAAATTTTAAGGCCTTAAATATAAAAGAACTCATTATGAAGATATTATAAACGAAGATTTAATTTGATGTAGGATACAAACTATGTCTAAGTTTATTAAAGACCTACAAATTTAAGAAACCTGTACAAAAGAATTAAAGTTTTACATGAAAGCTATTATAAATCGGCTGCAATTTAGGTATGGGAGCCTCAATTCTTGAACTTAAATTCTCAAGATGTTCAATGGACTTCTTTATGATTTCAATATGAAATTTAATTTGTTAATGAAACTAAAGTAGAATAAATTTTAGTATCTAGGTTTGCTAAAAACAACGCTAAGAAAATAAACTTCACAATCTATTAATGCCAATACCTTTGCTTATGCATATGATTCTGCTTTCGCTATCATCAAATCCTCTTCAAATTTTCGTTATATAGTTATTTTTAATTATTTAGGAAAATCTCCTAAATATACAATATTGTATAAGTATTAAATACTAGGATAAAGAATTTGAATATGATAATAATCTTGGTATAAAAACTAGTAATGAAGTTGCAGAATTGGTATTGGGAATAATTTCATCATCTATTTCGAAAATATAATTTTTGAGATAGACAAAATAAATGATCTTAATAATAGAGTAAAATAGGTAAATTTATTCACAATGTTATGGAATAAAATATTGCACCAGCTTAGTTTATATTTTGGCAGAGCGTTATTATTATCATGCATATTTAACAACTCGTGCAGAACTATGTATACATATCAAGCTTCTCAAAAATAGGTAACTATTGTTATTTTCGTTGAGTTTAGGGCAAAATCATTACTTATTAATTTGAGGCTGTATATATGTAAGATTATTCTTCTTAGGGTTTTTGCCTTAATAAGTGCCGTTGCCAGTTGAAATCCAGGTATTTTTAAGGTAATATAAATACCTTCCTTCACCTGAGGATTTTCCCTCCACTACGGATTCTTTTAGTTCTAAATTCTAGCCTCATTTACTGATCACTCTGTACTATTACTATAACCTC